ATACCATAACTCTAAGTTATCTAAATATACAGACCATATACCATAACTCTAAGTTATCTAAATATACAGACCATATACCATAACTCTAAGTTATCTAAATATACAGACCATATACCATAACTCTAAGTTATCTAAATATACAGACCATATACCATAACTCTAAGTTATCTAAATATACAGACCATATACCATAACTCTAAGTTATCTAAATATACAGACCATATACCATAACTCTAAGTTATCTAAATATACAGACCATATACCATAACTCTAAGTTATCTAAATATACAGACCATATACCATAACTCTAAGTTATCTAAATATACAGACCATATACCATAACTCTAAGTTATCTAAATATACAGACCATATACCATAACTCTAAGTTATCTAAATATACAGACCATATACCATAACTCTAAGTTATCTAAATATACAGACCATATACCATAACTCTAAGTTATCTAAATATACAGACCATATACCATAACTCTAAGTTATCTAAATATACAGACCATATACCATAACTCTAAGTTATCTAAATATACAGACCATATACCATAACTCTAAGTTATCTAAATATACAGACCATATACCATAACTCTAAGTTATCTAAATATACAGACCATATACCATAACTCTAAGTTATCTAAATATACAGACCATATACCATAACTCTAAGTTATCTAAATATACAGACCATATACCATAACTCTAAGTTATCTAAATATACAGACCATATACCATAACTCTAAGTTATCTAAATATACAGACCATATACCATAACTCTAAGTTATCTAAATATACAGACCATATACCATAACTCTAAGTTATCTAAATATACAGACCATATACCATAACTCTAAGTTATCTAAATATACAGACCATATACCATAACTCTAAGTTATCTAAATATACAGACCATATACCATAACTCTAAGTTATCTAAATATACAGACCATATACCATAACTCTAAGTTATCTAAATATACAGACCATATACCATAACTCTAAGTTATCTAAATATACAGACCATATACCATAACTCTAAGTTATCTAAATATACAGACCATATACCATAACTCTAAGTTATCTAAATATACAGACCATATACCATAACTCTAAGTTATCTAAATATACAGACCATATACCATAACTCTAAGTTATCTAAATATACAGACCATATACCATAACTCTAAGTTATCTAAATATACAGACCATATACCATAACTCTAAGTTATCTAAATATACAGACCATATACCATAACTCTAAGTTATCTAAATATACAGACCATATACCATAACTCTAAGTTATCTAAATATACAGACCATATACCATAACTCTAAGTTATCTAAATATACAGACCATATACCATAACTCTAAGTTATCTAAATATACAGACCATATACCATAACTCTAAGTTATCTAAATATACAGACCATATACCATAACTCTAAGTTATCTAAATATACAGACCATATACCATAACTCTAAGTTATCTAAATATACAGACCATATACCATAACTCTAAGTTATCTAAATATACAGACCATATACCATAACTCTAAGTTATCTAAATATACAGACCATATACCATAACTCTAAGTTATCTAAATACACAGACAATATATCATAACGTTTGATAGATTTGAGTGGCATTCTTCTCTGATATAGAATAAACACGATTAGTCACCTGTACCAGTAGCACTTATGAAATCTATTAAATATCATTTATCAGGTTAATCCAGTTGTAAATATCTTTACAATATAATCCATTACAATATATAGACTGCAGTCAAATATTTGAGTATGATATAGATATAATACCATAATTGATATATATCAGTGACCTAATCAATCCCACACTCAAAAGTCGACCTCCGGAATTTTAATAAAAGAATATCCAAACTATGCACTTAACGAGTATATCCCAGTTACACATCAACATTTTCATATGCTATTGTAAGGCTGAGTCCCACTGTTTACCCACTACACTGTCAACCACAATAATCAGTTCACACCCTGTAAGGTTGAGCATCACTGTATACCCACTACACTGTCAACCACAATAATCAGTTCACACCCTGTAAGGTTGAGCATCACTGTATACCCACTACACTGTCAACCACAATCATCAGTTCACTCCCTGTAAGGCTGAGCACCACTGTATTCCCACTACACTGTCCACCACAATTATCAGTTCACACCCTGTAAGGCTGAGCACCATTGTATACCCACTACACTGTCCACCACAATTATCAGTTCACACCTTGTAAGGCTGAGCACCACTGTATACCCACTACATCGTCAACCACAATCATCAGTTCACACCCTGTAAGACTGAGCACCACTGTATACCCACTACACTGTGCACCACAATCTTCAGTTCACACCCTGTAAGGCTGAGTCCCACTGTTTACCCCCTACACTGTCCACCACAATCATCAGTTCACATCCTGTAAGGCTGAGCCCCACTGTATACCCACTACATTGTCAACCACAATCATCAGTTCACACCCTGTAAGGCTGAGTCCCACTGTATACCCCCTACACTATCCACCACAATCATCAGTTCACACCCTGTAAGACTGAGCACCACTGTATACCCACTACACTGTGCACCACAATCTTCAGTTCACACCCTGTAAGGCTGAGTCCCACTGTTTACCCACTACACTGTCCACCACAATCATCAGTTCACATCCTGTAAGGCTGAGCCCCACTGTATACCCACTACACTGTCAACCACAATCATCAGTTCACTCCCTGTAAGGCTGAGCACCACTGTATTCCCACTACACTGTCCACCACAATTATCAGTGCACACCTTGTAAGGCTGAGCACCCCTGTATACCCACTACACTGTCCACCACAATTATCAGTTCACACCCTGTAAGGCTGAGCACCACTGTAGTCCCACTACACTGTCAACCACAATCATCAGCTCACACCCTGTAAGGTTGAGCATCACTGTATACCCACTACACTGTCAACCACAATAATCAGTTCACACCCTGTAAGGTTGAGCATCACTGTATACCCACTACACTGTCACCCACAATCATCAGTTCACACCCTGTAAGGTTGAGCATCACTGTCTCCCCACTACACTGTCAACCACAATCATCAGTTCACTCCCTGTAAGGCTGAGCACCACTGTATTCCCACTACACTGTCCACCACAATTATCAGTGCACACCTTGTAAGGCTGAGCACCCCTGTATACCCACTACACTGTCCACCACAATCTTCAGTTCCCACCCTGTAAGGCTGAGCCCCACTGTATACCCACTACACTATCCACCACAATCATCAGTTCACACCCTGTAAGGCTGGGCACCATTGTATACCCACTACACTGTCCACCACAATTATCAGTGCACACCTTGTAAGGCTGAGCACCCCTGTATACCCACTACACTGTCCACCACAATTATCAGTTCACACCTTGTAAGGCTGAGCACCACTGTATACCCACTACACTGTCAACCACAATCATCAGTTCACTCCCTGTAAGGCTGAGCACCACTGTATTCCCACTACACTGTCCACCACAATTATCAGTTCACACCCTGTAAGGCTGAGCACCACTGTATACCCACTACACTGTCCACTACAATCATCAGTTCACACCCTGTTAGGCTGAGCACCACTGTATACCCACTACACTGTCCACCACAATCTTCAGTTCCCACCCTGTAAGGCTGAGCCCCACTGTATACCCACTCCACTATCCACCACAATCATCAGTTCACACCCTGTAAGGCTGAGTCCCACTGTTTACCCACTACACTGTCAACCACAATCATCAGTTCACACCCTGTAAGGCTTAGCACCACTGTATACCCACTACACTGTCAACCACAATCATCAGTCCACACCCTGTAAGGCTGAGCACCCCTGTATACCCACTACACTGTCCACCACAATCATCAGTTCACCCCCTGTAAGGCTGAGCACCACTGTATACCCACTACACTGTCAACCACAATCTTCAGTTCACACCCTGTAAGGCTGAGCCCCACTGTATACCCACTACACTGTCCACCACAATCATCAGTTCACACCCTGTAAGGCTGTCCCAGGGCTACACCCTTGTCTGAGTAGCTATTCCTGAAAAGTATTGGTCTGCCAAGCTGTCTATACACATCCACAATATCACTTTTTGGAGATGGCGGTGCAGGACCACTGTTATAAAGATTCCTAGGAAGAAAGTCTGTGTGACTTGTACCAGCTTCCCTGAAATCCTTTTGATGCCTGTGGTATTGAGACTGGCCTTGTCTACCCCAATTAGGCTGGTAGTAGCTGTCTGCAATGTTAGAATATTGAGAATGAGACTGGGAATAGTTATGTCTGCGTCCATGTGCTTTTTCAGGACTCTGACTCTTTTCATCATCATCAGAATCCATAAATGGCATTGATCTGTATTCTTCTTCTTTCTGTTTTTCTGATTTTAAATATGCTGCAAAGGATCCTGTTTTTTTTACCTCCCCTTCCTCTGTTATTTCCCTCAGGTCAAGTCGAGGAACAGCAGGCTTCTCAGCCTTGTCACACATTAATTCTTTACTTTTCAGCTGTTTTATCTGCAGTTCTGCCAATTCTAACTCCAAATTGTCTAGTTCCCTCTGATAGTCCGATGTGTTCACCTTCCTGTGTGGTTCACTTTGCCCTTGACTATTTCCGTTACTTTGAACAGACCGCTGATCTTGATCAAGTCTTAGGGGATGCAAACCATCATTCTGATTCAGCTGGTTTGTTAAGGATAAATGGTGACCAGATACACTATTTTTGCTTTCACTTTGCGGCAGACTGTGTACAGAAGACTTTCGTGACCTCAGTCTGCTATGATCTTTCTCAAAGCTCTTAGACAATTGCTGTACAAGATGGCCGTATTGTGCCTCAAACCGATCCAGTCTGTCGTGAGGATCGTGGTGGGGTGGGGCGTGTAATGGAGGATTAAAGCTGACCCTAGGGTTAGCGTCTGTGGAGTGATGCCTACCTTCTCTGTCCGACTTCTTCCTGTTCATAAAGTTCTGTTCCTGGAGCAGCAGGAGTTCCTTGTGTAGCCTCTCGTTTTCCATCTCCAGCATCTGTAGCTGGCCAAGGTGGTCCTTCTTCTCTGTAACATACCACACACACATCTTATTTATTCTGGCATTATCTAAACCTATTAGGAGTAGACGTTCAGCAGGTATATAACATTAACGTATATGTAAATTGCGTCAGACTGATTCAAAACCTGTTTATTCAGGAGCTTTGTCTTTAAGGTGTCAGGTTTTATTGGATATTTACTGGGTCTTGTGTAAATAAAGAGAAACACATTAAAAAGGAAAGCCCCATAAAATATTCTTTAATTGTACAGTCTCATTAAAAAATCCAAAATCTGAGATATGTATTCTTGAATCTTGATGGAAAAGATTAAACAGTATGCATCACACTTTGTGAAAGTTGGAATTAATACATTGATGCCTGCTATACCTTTTCTGTCTGGAACCTGCTTCATGCCGTCCTCTATACTCTGAGCCTCGGCCTGCATCTGTGCCATCTGTGCAAGCACATCAGGGTCATTGCCCCCGTTCTGGAGGTATGCCTGCCTCATGGCACTGCAATACAACATCAGCAAAATATATATATTAGTATCTTATCTCCATTGCTTTAAGAAAACTTGCAATTAAAGATGTACTCTTCCGAGGTTTCAATCACGTTCAAGTCTCGTTTTTATCTTGTGTAACAGGTTTTTGTAATATTTAAAAAGATATGATAAATTTTAATAGCACACAGAGCTGAAAAATGTGTCAAAAAACTAGATGCCTGTTGTTTGTAGAACTATTTTACAAGAATTTAAAAAAATGACCAATTTGGCAGCCATTTTGAAAATGTGTATTTCTTGCGCCCCCGAAAAACATTTTTTTTACCATTTTTGACTCTAGATTGATCACTTAAATCGTCATTGTTTCGCCATTTTTAATTGTAACAAGTTCATTTTTGCTGTAAAACTTCATTATGTTTAATATGATGAAAATAATATGCAACAAAGTAGAAAATTATACATGATTGGTATTTTGTTTTACATGTTTAGTGTAACTGAAGCACTTTGATTTTTCACCCGGAAAATATTGTAATGGGACAAAAAAAAAAAGCACACAGACCCCTCATTTTTGTGGCTATTTTAGAAAGAAAAACACATTCAGTTTTGATTAATTAAATATTAGAAAATATTTCAAAGTCGAACTATTTATATCAAGCGTTAAATCTGCAAAAAATGGTGAAAAAATGAGTATTTTTTGGTATGTATAAATGTAGATAGTAATCACAGTTAAGAGGTTTGACATACATGAGGTATGTATAAATGTAGATAGTAATTACAGTTAAGAGGTTTGACATACATGAGGTATGTATAAATGTAGATA